CCATGGCGTCCCCATCTCCACCCCACAGCATCCAGGAGGTGGTGGCATCCCCAACCCTGGGACCCACAAGGCCATGGCATCTCCTTCTCCACCCCAGAGAATCCATGGGGTGGTGGCATCCCCAGTCCTGGGACCCACAAGGCCATGGCATCCCCATCTCCACCCCAGAGGATCCGCAGAGTGGTGGCATCTCCATCCCCAACCCTAGAACCCACAGGGCCATGGCATCCCCATCTCCGCCCCATGGCATCTATGGGGTGGTGGCATCCCCAACCCTGGGACCCACAAGGCCATGGTGTCCTCATCTCCACCCCAGGGGACCCACAGGGCGGTGGCATCTCCATCCCCAACCCATGGCATCCATGAGGTGGTGGCATCCCCACCCCTCCCCTCCGGGACACACAAGGCTGCACCATCTCCATCCCCACCCCAGGTCTGGGACACCTCTAGGACCTGTGGGACCGCCATCCCCGGGGTGACAGTGGCCGCGGTGGCCATGGCAGGCAGGGTGATGGGACTTACTCGCCCATGAAGCCCTTGGAGATGGAGTGGAAGGAGGCCAACTCCACCGCCTCTGAGTAGGGCGGCCCCATCTCAAACAGCACCTTCTTGAAGGAGTGGAAAGCAGAGCCCTCGGCGTAGATATTGTCCTGGTACACCTGGGCAGGGGGAGCGGTGAGGGGGTGTCACCCGGATGTCGGGGTCCCCCAGGGATGGGGGTGAGGGTGGGGGACACCCCGCGGGTCCCGCTGACCTCGTCGGCCATGAGGAAGAGCTTCTCCTCGTAGGCGAACTTGATGACGTCCTCGATGCACTGCCGGCTCTGAACCTGTCCTGGGGGGACATTGGGGTGCTGGCACTGGGGGGGGGGGCCCAGCCTCAGCACCAGCTGGGGTTTGGGGGGGCCCAGCCCCAGCAGTGGTTGGGTTTTGGGGGTCATGGTCCCAATCCCAGTACCAGTAGAGCCCCAGCACTGGTACTGGTAGGGTATTGGGAGTCGCAGCCCTGGTACCAGTAGGGTATTGGGGGGTCCCAGTCCAACCTTGGGGTCCCAGCCCAGGCTTGGGGTCCCAGCTCCAAACTTGACATCCCAGTCTAAGGGTCCCAGCCCAGGCCAGGGGCCACAGCCCTGGCATCCTAAACCAGTCTTAGGATCCCAGTCCAGCTTAGGGGTCCCAGTCCCAGCTGAGGGTCCTAGCCCAATCCTGAGGTCCCAGTCTAGTCTTGGGGTCTCAGCCCAGTCCCAGGGTCTCAGCCTCAGCCCAGGGATCCCAGCCAAGCCCAGGGGTCCCAGTCCAGCTTTAAGGACCCAGTCCAGTCTTAGGGTCCCAGTCCTCAGGTCCCATCCCAGTCTTGGGGTGCCAGTCTTGGGGTCCCAGCCCAACGCAGGGGTCCCAGTCCTGCCTTGGGGTGCCAGTCTTGGAGTCCCAGCCCAGGCTTGGGGTGCCATCCCCAGTTTTGGGGTCCCAGTTCTGGGGTCCCAATCCAGCCCTGGGGCCCCAGCCCAGCCTTGGGGTGCCATTCTCAGTGTTGGGGTGCCATCTCTGCCTTAAGGTCCCAGCCGTGGGGCCCCATCCCAGTCTTGGGGTCCCATCCCAGCCTTGGGGGTCCAAGTTCTGGGGTCCCAGCCCAACCCAGGGTCTCCCAGCCCAGCCCTGGGCTCCATCCTCAGCCCTGGGGTGCTATCCCCAGTTTTGGGGTGCCACCCCCGGGTGCCAGCGGGCGTACCGGTGGGGTTGCCGGGGTTGATGACGCAGAGGACGCGGGGGCAGCAGTGCCGACGCCCCTCGTCCAGCGCCCGCCGCAGCTCGGCCCCGTCCAGCGCCCAGCACCGCTCCTCCTCCAGGTAGTAGTTGAGCTGGACGGCGCTGAGCTCGGCGATGGCGGCCGAGTAGAGGGGGTACTGCGGGATGGGGATCAGCACCCCCGTGCGCGACGGCCCCGCGCCCGACACCAGCAGCTTCAGGATGCTCTGGGGAAAAGGGGTGGGGGGAGAAAAAGGGAGGTGTGGGGACAGGGACAAGGTGGTGGGGACAGCGAGGGGACAGGGATGGTGTGGGGCTGGAGAGGTCATGGCCACGGGGACAGTGAGGGGACAGTGAGGGGACAGTGAGGGGACAGGGACAGCGTGGGCATGGGGACAGTGTGGGGACAAGGATGGTGAGGGAACAGGGACAGGATGGTGAGGGTGTGGGGACACTGAGGGGACAGGGACAGTGAGGGACTGTAGAGGTCGTGGCCATGGGGACAGTGAGGGGACAGGGAGAGCGTGGGCATGGGGACAGTGTGGGGACAGTGAGGGGACAGGGATGGTGAAGGGACAGGGGCAGGACGATGAGTGT